TTTTTTATTTTATTCTCTGATTTCATTGTTTGGATGGTCTAATCAGGAGTAAATGGACGAGATATACCGCCTTTGGCATGGTACTATAAAACAGAGGGGAAAAGAACTGCAGGGCTGATCCAGCACTGAGTTAGCCCAGGGGGACTGGATCTCGGGCACGAGGCGGGCAGAGGCGCACCAGGAGCCCAGGGCTCTTCTCACCCACACTGGTGGCCCGAGAAAGCGCCTAGCTTGGGGCTGGAGCGATAGCACAGGGGATAGGGAATAGCATTTGCCTTGCACACGGCTGACCCGGGTTCAATTCCCAGCATCCCATAGGGTCCCCCAGCACTGTCAGGAGTCATTCCTGAGTGCAGAGCCAGGAGTAACCCCTGAGCATCGTCAGGTGTGACCTAAAAAGAAAAAAAAAAAAAAAAGAAAGCACCCAACTTCGGGGCTGGTCTCATGGAGGCCAAGCAAGCCCCGCAGTAGGTTGTCCCAGCTCCAAAGCCCCTGAAGTGAACAGCCACAGTATGTGTCTGCATGACACCCCCAAACATCAGAGAGCCACAGAGCCACAACCCAGGAGGCTGGAGTCGAAGGCCACCAAGCCCCGGGAGTGACAACTGGGACACGAGAGGCCCATCGCGCACCTCACAGCTCTGGAACGCTGCAGGCTGTGACTTTAACGATGCCGTTACGAGAGATCTAGGTTGTGACAAGCGATGTAAAGTCAGTCAATGAGAGCGGGCTCCGGGACACCACGGGAGGGAAGGGCACAGTGGAGGGGGCGCTGGTGCTGGGATACCCGATACCTGAAACAGCCGCACTGTGAACAACCTGGTACATCACGGCAGGCAAATAAAGTTTCATGGAAAAAACCCAACGGCCAAACCACACACCCACAGAGAACACAACCGCGCACGCGTGCTGGAAGAGGAAGCCTGGGCAGGCCGGCCGAGGAGCAGCCTGCAGCCGTGCTCCCCGCAGGGGGTCACCATTGACCCCCAGTGCGCTGGGCTGGGGTCGGGGGGCAGCTGCAGGTTCAGGAGTCCCGTGGGACTCACGGCAGGACCCTTCTCACTGTTCACAGGAAGATTTCCCAAGGGTGCTGGGGGATTTTTTTTTCTCCCCACGAAGCAGAGGGCGGGAGGGCTGAAGCGACAGCACAGCGGGGAGGGAGTTTGCCTTGCACGTGGCCGATTCAGGTTCGATTCCCAGCCTCCCATAGGGTCCCCTGAGCACTGCCAGGAGTAATTCCTGAATGCATGAGCCAGGAGGAACCCCTGTGCAATGCCGGGTGTGACTCAAAAAAGAAAAGAAAAAATGTAACTAAGCAAAGGGCGGGAGACCAAACGCAAGGTGCAGCCTAGAATCCAGATGTCTGACCTGTCTGAAGTGAGACCGTGAAAGAGAGAAACAAGCACTTTCAGGCGGCTCAGCCCTGCCTGGCCCAGAGATTTATTAACATGGGGCAGGATTTTGCTGAGATTAAAGGGCACAGCATAGAAACCTGTTTTATGGTCTCCTGCACCAGCTAATCTTCAACACTCCACACCCTGAAAATTGCCCTGAAAGTCTTACTATTCTTTTCACTCTCCCATGAAAAAAAAAGCGATCACAAGGAAAAAAAAAAAAAGAGTACCAACCACAAGGAGCCGAGAACAATGTAAACTGGCTGATCGGGTTGCTTGGGGCGATGCGGGGAGGGTTATTTCCCAACCGAGGAAAGGAAAGAATGCCTTTGTGTGCAACTCTCAAGACAAAGAGAGAAACAGAGGGTCCCGGACTGTTGGGGTAACCTGGGCAGGAGAAGGCAACCACATCTAGACTGACGGGGTGGGAGAATGGGCAGGGCAGGGCCGGAGGAACGCCAAGGGCCGAGAGTGAGCTTTGTGGGCAGGTTGGCTGCCTGGCACCGCACGGTCGCCCAAACATGTCAGGAGCACAGGACAGGGAGCGTCAGAACAGAACCAGGAGTAAAAGCACCACCATGTGTGGGCCTCCCCCATAACCAACCACCCGGGCACACTCAAGTCACGAGGAACACAGTACGACTGTGGTTTGTGCAACTTTGAACAGGTAAGTATCTTTGAAACTATGAGGGGGGCCAGAGGGATGGTTTGATGGGCTGAGCACACGCTTTGCAGGCAGGAGGCCCGGGTTCGATCCCCATCCCGCAGGGTCCCCTGAGCAAGGTCAGGGCTGACCTCCAAGGACCCAGGCAGGAGAAGCCCTTGAGCACTGTCGTCAGGAGCACTGTCAGGCCCTGGGTTCAATCCTGCGCATCCCAGATGCCCCCGGCAGCTGGCACACATGTCCTGCCTCGTCAAAGCACAGCAGGCGTGAGGCCCCCGCAGCAGTAAACCAACAAGCAAACAGCAAATAATTCTGCAAGAATGAGTGAGTGTTACTAAAGGAACGAGAGAGCAAAAGGGAATGCCCTGCCACAGAGGCGGGGTGGGGTGGGGGATGGGGGGGGTGGGGTGGGAGGGCTACTGGGCTCATTGGTGGTGGAGAATGGGCACTGGTGGAGGGATGGGTACTCGATCATTGTATAACTGACACCCAAGCACGGAAGTTTGTAAGTCTACTACTGTACCTCATGGTGTTTCACTAAAAAAGAGGAAACAAAAAGAATGAGTGTTAACAATTTAAATGAAAAAAATTTCAAGAGGACTGGCACTGTAATTCAGTGGGGAGGGCACTTGCCTTGCATGTAGCCAATTGGGGCTCAATTCCTGACATCCCGTCTGGTCCCCAGAGCTCCACAAGTGACCCATCAGCCAGGAATAAGCCCCCAGCACTGCCGAGTGTGGCCCCAAGACAAAATAAATGACAAATATTTCCAGGGGTTCAGGGAATGGGGAGATCGCGTGGGAGCTCCGGGGTGGCTATCTTGTACTGGCAAGGACTCAGGCTTGGTGTCCAGGCTGCTGGGGTGGCCTTAGTAGCCCCTGGAGCCGCAGGGCCCAAGCAAAGCTGCATCGGGCCCTGGGCAGTGGCCGACTGGCCACATATCCCCAAGAGTGACCCCCACATGTAAGAAACCAACGATCTACAGTGCTTATGATACATACATGTGATCACACACAAGTCTTTTAACCTGTCAGATGATACATTTTGACTGTTTCAATGTAAATGTAAAATAAATTCTTTTCCGCACAAAACCATGCTAGCCACCAGAAAATCACTCTAACTGGGACCGGAGCAACAGCACAGCAGGCAGGGTGCTGCCCCTGCACGCGGCCGGCCCACGTTTGCTCCCAGGCATCCCACCCAGTCCCTGAGCCTGCCGGGAGTGTGCCCTGAGCACAGCTGGGTGTGGTCCAGAAACAATCAGATCCCTTCAATCCAGTTGTACTTTTTACTCTTTTGAAGAGAAAAAAAAAAAGAGAGAGAGACTGAATCTAACTAGAATTATGACGCAGGAGCATCAGAGAAAACTAGAAAATACAAACATGCTAAATTCACATTTCAACCACAGTTTGGACTTGGGTCCAATTCAAAGCTATTTCCCGGTTGGAAAGTTGACCCAAGGGGGTGCTCCAGCTGCACGGTGCGAGGGTGAGGTGTGTGTGTCCCCACTCAGATGGCTGTTGGCTACCTACAGGCTCTGGGAAGCATTTCTACCACTGTTACCGAGGTGCTGGATTTACAATCCTGTCAAGCATATTCTTCATGCGCATTTTATCACCTTTAATCTACATGCTGGGCAACCAGGCATCAGACTCCTGTCTTCCTGGTCAACACGGTGCCAACTGCTGCTGCCTCTGGCACCGAGGTCCTTGCCCGTCAGAGGCAGCTCAGGAGATCCTGATCTGAGGACTCCTCTTAAAGGAAGGACACTTGGCACCTGGCATTGGAGACCGGACACTGACGAGGTGCAAGTCACAGCCCAGCGTTGCGGAGACGACAGGGGCCAAGGAGGATCAGGAGCCAGGGCTCAGCAAAAGGGCAACCAAGAACTTTTTTTTTTAAACCAGGGTTGACTCCTGGCTCAGTGCTCAAGAACCACTCCTGGCAGGACAGGGAGGGACCATTTGTGGTGGTGGTGATAAAACCCAGGTTTGCTGTGTGCAAGGCAAGCGCCCGACCCGCTGTGCGCATCTCTCTGCCCCTCGGGGTGACTGACCCTTCACTCAGCAGCAAAAAACTTTTCTACACAATGGAACTGTCGCAGTGTCCTCCCGTTGTTCATCGATTTGCTCGAGCGGGCTCAGTAACGTCTCCATCGTGAGACTTGTTGTTACTGTGTTTGGCATATCGAATACGCCACGGGGAGCTTGCCAGGCTCTGCCGTGTGGGCAAGATACTCTCGGTAGCTTGCCAGGCTCTCCGAGAGGGAGGAGGAATCGAACCTGGGTCGGCTGGGTCAGCCGTGTGCAAGGCAAACGCCCTACCCACTGTGCTGTGCTATCGCTTCAGCCCACACAATGGAACACAGAAGTATAATAGAGAGACAAAACACTGGCCTGGTCACTCAGACGCCCACCTCCTGCCACCCACCACTCACACACATAGTCCTGAGCGGCCACCCTGGAGGACGTTTGAGGTTCTTTCTGGATAAGTCAGGGGGGCCATCCCCAGCAACCAGGGTCGCTGCCTCGTGCTTAGAGGCCCCCGTGGCGCTGGGGCCCAATCCCGGGACTCCCGTATGCAACAGACACCCTGTAATCCCAGCTCTCCCTGCCCCGACGCTCTCCAGTCATGCTTCCACGGGATGTCTAAGGGATGACACGGGAGGTGTTGAGATCACAGAGCTCTGGTAGCAGAGAAAAGATTCCCGCTGATGTGTGAACGGAGGGCCTGGCGGTGCGGCCAGGCAGGGCATGGGTCTGACCCTGAGGGTGAAGCCCTGGGGCACACAGATCTGACCACATGGGGTGAAGCCCCCAAAGCACACAGGTCTGACCATGTGGGGTGAAGTCCCCCAGGCACACAGGTCTGACCACGTGGCCTCGAGCTCCTGGGCAGTGCATGCACACACAGGGGCAGCAGGCCTGCATCTCAGCATTCACCTAGGACGAGGAGGGTGAAGAAGATGGTCATGCCACTGGACTGCTCCTCCTGCTGGGCCTGCTCCCCCGTCTGCACGGGAAGGATGGGCTTGGCCGGGGTCGGGAGCACCAGCTTCGTGGTGACAATCAGGGTGGTGTGGAAGGTGACATTGGGAACGTCATGAGTCGTGTTGAGGGACCTGTCGGGCACAAGAAAGCAGGGTGGTTAGACAAAGGGAGAGAGGCCCCGAGGACCGACGACGATGCCCACAAACCAGCAAGGAAATCTGGCCAGGGTTTTCCGGAAGCAAGAGCCGGCCAGCCAGCAGTGCTTGGCGGAAAACCGATTGAGGGTGGCTGTAGCAGGAGGCTACCGGGGCCCAGAGCACAGCTCTGAGGGGAAAGGACGGGGAACCGGGCAGAAAGAAACGGCTGCACGTTTGTGGCATTCATGGGGAAGGAGAGCCACACAGCGAGGTCTCTTCATGTTCCAAGACACAGTACTGCCTTTTTTTTTTTTTTTTTTTTGCTTTTTGGGTCACACTGGGCAGTGCACAGGGGTTACTCCTGGCTCTGCACTCAGGAATTACTCCTGGCAATACTCGGGGCACCCTATGGGATGCCGGGGATGCTGGGAATCGAACCCAGGTCGGTTGCGTGCAAGGAAAACGCCCTACCTGCTGTACTATCGCTCCGGCCCCGCACCGTTCCAAGTTTTAATTATTGACTTTTGTTTCTTGGGCTACACCTGGTGGTGCTCAGGGCTCCTGGCTCTGCACTCAGGAATTACTCCTGGTGGTGCTCGGGGGACCCTATGGGATGCTGGAAATCGAACCTGGGTCGGCCCCATGCAAGGCAAATGCCCTCCCTGCTGTGCTATCGCTCCAGCCCCAGTACTGCTTACTTTTATTTCTCTAGTTTGCACCATTTCCCAGGGAGGATTTCCACAAGGTGAAGAAGTCCGTCACCTGGGTTTGCCTAACGGCAGATCCGCTGCCAACTCCCAGCCCGCTCAACAGAACCTTTCCCAGATTTCCAGAGGGAGCCAGTCTCCTCTGCCACCCCTGGCCGCACCCTTCACTCAGCTGCCAGTGGCGCTGGGATTAAAAATCGGTGTGATATTGGCACGGTCCTCGACGCCACTCACACCGCTTGCCACCACGATGGAACATGCAACTTCCCATGAACTCTGAGCCGCCCGAGGCAGCTGTGATCACTTTCCTTTCCGTCCCTGAGTCACTGGGGTCCCGCCAGGCTACCTGACCTGGTGAGTCTCTCAGCCGGCGGCCAAGTCAAACTTGGCCAGCAGGACGGGGGAGCGTTCAAGTGGATTTGCCTTGCCCGGGCTTGATCCCCCCCCACCCCACCCCATATGGTCCCCTGAGCCCAGCCAGAGCGTGGCCCTGAGCGCAGAGCCAGGAGTAAGCCCTGAGCAGCGCCAGGTGTGGCCCAAAGAACAAAGGCCAAGAAGGCCTGGCAGCCCATCTGAGCGCAGCGAGCTACGCCAGCTCTTTTGCTGTGTGCCATGGAGGCCCCGTTTGGTGTCTGGGACACAGCAGTGGGTCCAGAAAGAAGCTGGAGCGAGAGCACAGCGGGGAGGGTGTTTGTCTTGAACGCGGCCGACCAGGGTTCGATTCCCAGCATCCCATAGGGTCCCCCGAGCACTGCCAGGAGTGATTCCTGAGTGCAGAGCCGAGAGCAACCCCTGTGCATCAGAGGGTGTGATGCAAAAAGGACCCCAGGGACCAAGAGGGGGTCTGGGAAGTTGTCAGCCTGAAGGGAGGGGCAGAGAGGAGGGGGTGTCCTGGGAATTCTGACATTGGACAAATACAGACCTGGCCTCTGTAAGAGGCCACCAGCTGTTATAGTGACCAGAGCCCCTATAGTGACCAGGTGCCCAGGGGTCACCCCCAGCCCCCTCGCCTTCTACGCCGGCAATCCTGCCTTTCTGCCGCTCCGAGGCGCTCCAGCCCTCTGGTCTCCTCCAAGGTGCCCAGGGCGGGCGCCCCCGGCTCCCTAAGTGACCCAAGCCGGCCCCCTCGGAGCCCTCAGACCCTCGGGTCCCCTCCCCGGGATGCAAGCCCGGAGGGCTGCCGGACGTCAGCTCCCTCCTCCACCTCGTGCCCAGGGCTTTTCAGAGTCCTCTGGCCAACACGGGACAGGACAATGAATGAATGAACGAATGAATGGGTGAATGAACAGAGGGGTGGATGGATGGACGGACGGATGGATGACACTGCGTGGCGAGAGCCGCGAGAACGGATCTTTACAGTGGGGGAGGAGATGGGCTAGGGAGGGGCTGGGGGGGCTTCCTGGAGGCGGCGGCGGCGGCGTTGACAGGCACACCCGCCAATGGGCTGAGCCCGGCCGCTGCCCCCGCGGCCCCCGGGCCGGCCCGGCTCCCCCGCCCCCCGCAGGCCCGAAGGCACCGGGAGCTCCGCCCTCCGAGGGCGAAGGGCGGCCGAGGCGCCCTCCGGCCCCGCCAGGCCCGGCCCCGAGGCCTCCGCCCCCGGGAAAAGCCCACTCACTCCTCTTCCGCCATCTTCTCCCCCATCCTGCGCAGCCTCCGAGACGAGACCACCGAGTTCAGGGCCGCGGGGCTAGCGGGGCCCGCGCTAGCTTCCGGCTTCCGCTTGCGGGCGCGGCCGCGCGGGCCGGCGGGCGGTGGGCGGGGCCCCGGCGCGGGCTGGCGGCCCCTCCGGCCGGCCGTCTCTATGGCGGCGCCCCGTGGCTGTGGCGGCCCCTCCGGCCGGCCGTCTCTATGGCGGCGCCCCGTAGCTGTGGCGGCCCCTCCGGCCGGCCGTCTCTATGGCACGAGGGTGGGCGGAGGTCCCGGGAGCTGAGCTCAGGCCCCACGAGGTTCCCGTGTGTGACCCCCTCGCCGAGGCCGCGGCATCTGGGGGACGAGGGCTTGCTGCGTCCTCTCCCGTGGGTGCCCAGGCCCCCGCGGGGGTCCCCCGACCCCCGTGCAGAGGGACCGAGGCCCCGGGCTCTGCAGAACCGCGCGTGGCGGTGGCCGCGGTGGTCAGGGGTCGAGGGAGCGTCCCGGGGCCCGGACGTGGAGGCGCGGGACCCCAGCCCGCGGCGGCTGACCCCGGTGGACGGGCCCCCGCAGCTGCCCCGGCCCCGGGGACCTGCACGCCCGGCAGCCCCCTCCCTTCTGCTGCTGCCGCCCCTTCCGAGGGGCGCCCTGCCCGGAGCCGGAGCCGCAGCCCCCCGCCCTGCATTTCACATCATGCTCCGTCTCCCCGGGAGCCCCCTGGCTCGCTCTTCCCTCCTCGTGGGCCTCCCTGGCCGCTTTCCCTGTCCCTAACGCTGCCACCGGCCTCCCGACTTAAAACTCACGAGTTGCTTTTTTCCTTCCTGAGTTACTTACTCTTTCTGTAGGACAGCGACCGAATTACTATATTTAACTTAAAAAAAGAAAAAAAAGAAATTGATATTGCCCATCTCCCTTCTCCAGGGTACAAACTTCCGAACTCAGGGAGGTTTGTCTTTTTTTTTTTTTTTGCTTTTTAAAGGGTCACACCTGGCGATAAACGGGTTACTCCTGGGTGTGCACTCAGGAATTATCCCTGGCAGTGCTCAGGGGACCCTATGGGATGCTGGGAATCAAACCCGGGTCGATGGCGTGCAAGGCAAACGCCCTACCCGCTGTGCTATTGCTCCAACCCTGAGGTTTGTCTGTTTTGTCCTGTTTTTGAGCCAGACCCTTTGGTGCTCAGGGCTGACACCTAGCTCTGGGCTCAGGGATCAGCCCCCTACGGGGTCCTGGGATCAGACCCAGGCCTTTCATGGGCCCTGCAAGTGCTATCCCCGCAGTCCTATCGCTCCGTCCCTTGTTTCTTGTTTTTGTTGTCTGCATTTGGGGTAATGTTTCGAGGTGCTCAGGGCTTGCTCCTGGCTCTGTGCTCAGGGATCAGCCGTAGCTGCGCCCAGGGGACCCCTGTGAGGGGCTGGGAATATTGCAAGGCAAGGTACTCCCTGTCACCCAGTGTCATCTCCAGTGCCTAGGACAAACATCAGGTACTCTGAGCAAAAGGAGAAAGAACACTGAATGCAGAAATGAGTTCGCTCTAAAGAGATTCATTCATTCAGGAAAGAGGCCGGGATCCCTTTGGCCACTTGTGGCTGGGCCTTGGGTGTTGGGAGTGGCGGGCCTCTGCAGGAACTGGGCAGGAGCCATGCCACTTTGGATTAATCGGGTACTGGGCGGGGGCTGGAGCCTGGCATCCGACAGAAAGGAAATCCAGCCTGACATCAGGCTGGGGCCAGGAGTTGCTGGGTGGGAGGAGCCTGGCGGGGCCCCCCCGGCCCTGTTCCACTCCAGCCTCGCTGAGGGCTGTTGGCAGAACCGATTCAAAGAATGCACCGAGGATCCGACAGTTTATGGAGTCCTTCCTGGAGGTGTGGTGCGGGACTATTGCTTCCTTCATTCCTGTGGGTTCTTTTGAGGTAGAGACGCTCCTACTTCATGAACCGCAGTGTGGAAACCTCAAGTGCCTTGACCGCGCCAGCAGCCACTGGAGGCGGGGTCCACCGGGGCGTTTGCTGTCCCACAACGGCTTGTTTTCTCACCTCTCTGGCACCGAAATGGGGCTGCTGCCAGGGCACACCCTCCTTGAGTCCTGAGCTGGACCGGAACACGCCGGTCTGTCTGTAAGCACAGTGCTGACCCTGCTGATTCTCTTTGTTTGGTATCTGGTGATGCTCAGGGAGACAACATGGGGTGTCGGGGATCAAACTCAGGTTCAACTGCAGGCAAGGGCAAGTGCCTTAGCCGCTGTACTCTTCTCTCTGGTTCCTGAATTCCTCTTCTTCAATACAAGCAGAAAAACAAAGAATGAATCCGGGGCTGGAGCGATAGCACAGCAGGTAGGGCGTTTGCCTTGCACACGGCCGACCCGGGTTCGATTCCCAGCATCCCATAGGGTCCCCTGAACACCGCCAGGAATAACTCCTGAGTGCAGAGCCAGGAGTAATGCCTGTGCATCGCCAGGTGTGACCCAAAAAGAAGAAAAAAAAAGAATCCTCTGAGCATACCTGCGCCCTTCTATGAGAAAAGGAGAGCAGAATAGAGAAAATTAATCACAGAGAAGACAATGCAAGGAGGAAGTAAAGAAACAAAAACAACTTTTCAGAGAGTTGGAAACTATGAAGCAAGAGCATGATCTGTTTTTTTTTAAACAATGTTTTAAAAATAAAAAGGGACATATGGCCATTTAAAGCATGACTAGAGATGGATTGAAAATGCAATGAAAGGGTGGAAGGTAAATTTGAGTTTGTCTCGGGACCTGGGACAAGACAAAGACAGAAAATAGAAAAGCTAGGACGTTTAGGTGTTAGTAAAGACAAAAAGACATCTGAAATATAGGCATTTTACACTGAGAAATTGGGCACAGTCATCAATGAAATATCCTTTTTGTTTTTGTTTTTGTTTTTTTTTTGGGTCACACCCGGCGATGCACAGGGGTTACTCCTGGCTCTGCACTCAGGAATCTCTCCTGGCGGTGCTCAGGGGACCATATGGGATGCTGGGAATTGAACCCAGGTTGTTCGCGTGCAAGGCAAACACCCTACCCGCTGTGCTATCCGCTCCAGCCCCCATCAATGAAATATCTTATGAAACATCTCCAGGATTAAAGAACATGTGTTTCCAGATCAGCAAATTTTACAAAGTGCCTAACATGTATAAAATGACCTGAGGCTGGACCGAAGAGACGGGCAAACTGCTTCCTTTTTTATGCAGAAGTGCTTATTTTTTACGCTGAGTGCATCCTTTTTTTTTTTTTTATGCAGAAGCGATTACCAGATGGTCAGACTTCTTTGTCAAGGTCATGAACGATCGGTTTGAGGCCCTCCATGTTCCCGGAGCGAAGAGATGCCATTGGGCTACACTAGCACGCGACAGGGACAAATGGAGACGTTACTGGCGCCCGCTCGAGCAAATCGACGACTAACGGGAAGTTAAGTGATTAAGTGATGCAGAAGCGATAGTACAGCGGGTAGGGCGTTTGCCTTACAAGCGGCCAACATGGCCGACCCGAGTTCGATTCCTCCGCCCCTCTCGGAGAGCCCGGCAAGCTACCGAGAGTATTCGATATGCCAGACACAGTAACAACAAAGTCTCCAATGGAGACGTTACTGGGCCCGCTCGAGCAAATCGACGATCAACGGGAGGGCCTTTACCTCTTATGCAGAAGGCTTGGGTTCAGTCCCAGTCATCAGCTCCTTATGGTTTCCTGAGCACCAAGGCAGGAGTAATCCCTGAGACCTACCAGGTGCAGCCCCTAAACAGAAGCCAAAACCAAAACAGACCCAGAGCGAGAACCTCAGAAGATTTCAAAATACCGAGAACCAGCTTCCAGAAGAGGGGAGCAAGTTTCCGCATTGAAAGCATCGAGTGGAGAATAACTTTGAACTTCTCAATCAAAATTTGGCAGGAAGCAGGAGAACTGGTCAATGGTTGGAAGCTTGCCACGAGTGTGAGGGGGACGAATGACCGTTAGGGTAGAGGGGAGACCAGTATGACAATAATAGTCAGAAATGATCACTCTGGGGGCTGGAGAGATAGCACAGCGGGTAGGCGTTTGCCTTGCACTCAACCAACCCAGGTTCGATTCCCAGCATCCCATATGGTCCCCGAGCACAGCCAAGGGTAATTCCTGAGTGCAGAGCCAGGAGTAACCCCTGAGCATCGTCTGATGTGACCCCCCCCCCAAAAAAAGAAAAAGAAATGATCACTCTGGACGAGAACTGAGTGTTGAAAGTAGGTAAAGGAATATACGTGATAACCTTTCTGTATTTCAAATGAGAGAGAGACAGAGACAGAGAGAGAGACAGAGACAGAGAGAGACAGGAGAGAGGAAAAGTGCCTGTTACAGAGGCTGGCAGAGGGTCGGGGGAGAGGGTGTGGGGACATTGGTAGTGGAAATGTACACTGATGAAGGGAAGGATGTTGTAACATTATATGACTGAAACCCAATCATGAACAACCTTGTAACTGTATCTCACTGTGATTCAATAAAAAAAAATTATTTTAATTGACAGGAAGAAGGCAATAAAGTACAACTTTTAACCTTCTGAAGGGAATTCATTTTTTTTTGGGTCACACCCGGCGATGCTGAGGGGTTACTCCTGGCTCATGCACTCAGGAATTACTCCTGGCGGTGCTCGGGGGGACCATATGGGATGCTGGGAATCGAACCTGTGTTGGCCATGTTGGCTGCGTGCAAGGCAAACGCCCTACCGCTGTGCTATCGCTCCAGCCCTGGGAATTCATTTTTATTTCTTGCTTTTGGGCCACACCAGCCGTGCTCAGGACTTACTCCTGGCTCTGAGCTCAAGGGAACTGGAATCAATCCTGGCTGGACTGCGGGGGGGGGGGGGGTGGGGGGGCCGGGAGAGGGAGCCGATATCAAACCTGGGTCAGCCACATGCAAAGGAAGTGCCCGACCCACTCTGCCACTCTGGTCTATCTTTAGGGGAAGTATAGCTCATCCCCTAAAGGGAAGTGGTGTCTAACCACAAATTCCGTGCTCTGCCAGTCATCAAGGAAGCAAATAGACTAAACCTTTCTGGCGATGGAAGTCTTTAAACTTGTGACAGCACAGTGGGGCGGGCA